AGCAAGCCCCCCGGCCCCGGGAGCTCTCCTTTGGGCAGGCTTCTGCTATCGCCTCCTGTCCGAGAACGGTGTCATCTAGGTCATTAATCCCTGCTCACCGGGGCGGGGGGAAAAAGCAACTTGCGGCCTCTGTGGAGGTGGCGTGAAGTTTGACAATGTCTTATGTAACACTTTTTGGAGAGATTCTTCGCTCTTCTGCTGTCCCCAGTTCTGCTTTTAGAAAGCAAGTGATTTCTTTGTAGAGCATCACAGAAGCGATCTGTACTTGTGTCTTCACACGAGTACAACGTCTTCTGCTTTATTCAACTTGGAACAGGGGTACTGCTAGACAGCAAATAAAGCCTACTTTTTTCCAACATGCATTTTTTTTTTTTAACCGAAAATCAGCCTGAGGAGGCATCTGAACAGTTGTTATAAGCTCTTACCTTTTTGTGTATGTATTGTACTTGGGTTTTATAGCACTCTTAAAATTACGACAGGAAACATTTTCACAGCGCTGATTGTCATTTATGTATTCTGGAAGGCATGGGTGCCAGGATGGAAATGACAGTGAATCAAATGTCTTTTAAACATTGTTAGCTTTTTTTTTTTGTACAATTTCAGTGCTAGAAGGATCAGAAGGCACGGGGCTACGCAAAGTGCTATGTTAAAACCAGACCTGGCAATTGCCAACAGGTCAGCAAATTTTATTTAATGAAATCTGGATACAGATTCATTTTCTTGGTACATCATTTATTTTTTTTTTTTACTGGTTCAGAAATAGAAACAGCAGGAAAATAGATAAATAGATTGAAAGGTTGCCTAGTTTCCCTGCAGTTTCTGTTGGAGTCTGTCTTCTACTAAAAAAAAAAAACCACCTAGTTTCACACCAAATGACAAGGTAGTGATTTGCCACATATTCTTTAGATTCCTACTGCAAAGGTACGCTAGGGGGACTAGTTTGGGTTGGGTTTTTTTCCCCATTCAGTGATGAAAAGGCACAGACTATTGTAATAGGACCTATGAAATGAAGGCTCTTTTCCTCACCTTGTGGAGCTCCATTATTACACTGTAAGCTTAGAGGAAAAATCAGGTATAAACTCAGGTGATGGGTTCAGGGCAGGGGGAATCTTTTAACAAAGTCATTCTGCTCCCTACTGCAAATGGAGATGGGTTATCAAAGGTTAGTTTACTTATAAGAAGAGAACAAGTTGGAAAAAAAAAAAAAATTCCCGAACGTCCTCACTGTGTTGCAGTTTTTTAGAATGGAGAAATGACCAAGGTGGAACAGGTATCCTTAGGCTTCTTGGAAACTGCAAATTGCTGATAAGTATTCCAAGTCTGAAATGTGAAATTCTTATTGCTTAGGTGTCCTGTGACGGCCCTTGATCAGCAAGCCTGCAAGTCATGTAGAAGCCGCAGTAACTGCAGAGTCTCTGATGGATAATTGGATTGGTAGGTTGTTTTTGATTTTTGTTTTTGTTTTTTAATTGCCAGCTGTGGTAGCAGATTCCTTTTCTCCTCCTGTTGATGTTTAATTCTCACAATTTTTGATTTATGTTGTGTGTTGCATCTTTCCTGTTCAAAGTACATAACCCCTTCTCAGCTGCTGGTAAGAAAAGCATAGCTTGGAGGTATTTGGATGGCAGTATGTAGCAAGATTTTTTTCTTTTTTTATTTATATCCAAAATATGCATGACAACTTTTTTCTTGTCTGTTTAGATGACATAAAAAGATTGTAAGTTTTCTCAGGTCTGGAGAAACATGAACTGGTTTTCTTTGAAAGAGCACTGAAAATAGTGTTTCTAATACATTGAATACCCTGTACCAGCTATTTAGTCTACAGGAATTCCAAAGTACAGTCCTCCAAAAGCCAAAGTGCAGAGCAGTGGTGAATGACTGCATGTCTGTTGGCAACATTAAGATCTGTCAGAGGCTTGATCTGAAATCTCAGTGTGTAGGACTTAATATTGGCAAAAGTGGTATTCCTTCTGAATGAATTATTTTAGAAAACTGGTAAAAATAGGCATCTCCTATGTGCACTTAAATCGCTGAACTGAAATGTTCTTAAATATAATGATTTTGAAGGAATAATCCTCTAAACTATTGCTTGTGTGACTACTTCTTGTCAAATGTGTATTTTTTGTTTTTACCTGGAATAAACGATCAGTTGTCAATAGACCCTTACTGGAATACTCTCATGCTCTGTCTGATTTCTTTTGTGTATGTGTGCCTTTATAAGAGCAACCTTAAAACAAACATGCATACACAAACCGACAAAACCCAAGCCATTTTGCCTGATGTTTATAAACTGTTTATAAAGGCTAATAATAGGTAAAATTCATAACCTGCCTACAAAATCTTTGTGCTGTATGCTAGACTTGATCTACATGCAAACTCCTGTCAATGTTGATGGGAGTGCTTGTCTAGATCCAGAACAGCACTCCTTCTTTTTTTTTTTTCTTTTTTCTGGTTTGTATGAAAGCCTATGCTAATGAGCTCTTGCCAGCTTTGTTTAAAGACCTTTCATCATCTTCATTAGAATAAATTAAAAAAAATACCCATTTTAAGAATATGAGATTTCTGGTGTGTCTATTTTTCCTATAACCTATGTGTGCTGGTAACATTAAGATAAAGACTTGTGTGAGAAGAGGACACAATTGCCAATGCAAGTTTACAGCTAGTTATTCTTCATGAGTTCGTCTCCGTTCTCTTCAGAGTTAGCTGTATTGGTTATTTGCCTAATTCTGTGGCTAAAGAACTTTCTGCAAAGTAGTTTTGTGTAAGGAAACGTACACACATGCACTATTTTTGCTCTGTTAGTTGTCTGGGTTTGGCTCATCTTTCTTTTTGTCGTGAATGCTAGCTTTAAAAAACAATCATTGTTTATTATTCCACACTTGGCATAATTTAAGAGCTCGAGAGTCAGAATTACCATCAAGGAAAGTAATGTTCCTTTTTTTTTTTTTTTTTCTTCTTTTTTCTTTTTCATTGGGTCACTAATTTGCTCTTCCTTGTGGTAAGCCCACCTGGAGATAAGGGTTAAGAAATAAGGTTTGTACCTTGTAGGGTTTCATGACTCTCTTTGTTTGGCTCAGTATTTGAAGGTCTATCCTGTGTCTTGTCAAAGCTTGTTCAATGCATGGCTGTAGAAGGGGAGTAGCAGATAACAAATTCTATTTTATACGGAAGCTGGTGGCTCAAAAATCAAGGAGAAAATTGCTAGAAAGGATTATCCTGGCCTTGGCACTGACTTTGAAGCAAAACTGCCAAGGCTGGAATCCTTGTTTGAGTGCCATCTGTGTCAGAATTAGAAGGAAACTGTGTAAAATAGTTCCATTACCTGTTTTAATTTGCAGATCAGACCAGGTCTGATCTAACAATGCTTACAGTACTATCCACATCACCGTTCTTTCTGGGATATGGCTACTGTTTTCACAACAATGGAGTTAACTGGGTAGAAGCTACGCTAAAAATTGGCAAGAAGAGCCCCGGCAATGTCTATCCAATGCTATAGCAAAAAGCCAGATCTAATCACATAAGCCTGATGATGGAGGAAGCTGGAAATCTGAGGCGGTGCAAGCAGAATGCAGTCTTTCTTGCTGACCTCCACACAAGATAGGTATGCTTGAAAATAACAAAAAGAAATAGATGACTTAGTAAGGATAAGAGTTCCTTGTCCTGCTGCCTCCCACCTCTTGACCTATGAGGAGATAGATGCCACCACCACTCTACTCTTCTCCCATCCATTTTTGAGTATTGATGGGTCATTTCTGTTACTCCACGTCTGTAACAGTTTTCTATCCTCAGGGAATAGTTGCACGTGTTGACCCACACCCTGTGCATGCTGCCTGAGGGGCAGCTAGTCAAGGGTCACATCAGTTAATGGGGTAGCTTTGCTGTTTACTCCGGTATCTGTGAAAATGATAGAAATTGTAACAATTTTTGATCTGCTGCTGTTTGGCAAAACTGCAAGTAGCAGTGTTAACACCAGAACCATAGCTTTCTTAGATCAGAAGGACAACACCCATATCAGTTTAAACCTGCTTTCACATTCTGGCACTGATACACTTGTACAAGAAAACTTATGTTCAGCAAAAAAAAAATATGTTTTTAAGCACTCCCCACCTCCCCTCCTCCCGCCCCCCCTGCTTCCTTCACCAGAAATTTTCTGCTGCTTAAAACTTCCAGCGAAGTTGAGTTGTCGCCTTCAGTTGCAGCTTTCAGTAATTCCTCTAAAGTTTATCCCAGAATGTAATATTTACATGCAAAATGCCACCATTTCAGTTGTATCATTAGCTTTTGGATTGTATCTCCCAGTAGGCATTTGACAGCTAAGACTTGGGACTAGGAGAAAACTAGAAAACTATGTTAATGAGCAATCTTCATTTAAATACAGAGAAGAATGGAGGATTTTTTTTGGGAGGGGGTGGAAGAGGAGAGAAAAGGCAGAGAAGTGAAGGAAAGGAACTGTGAAGTTTATTTTATTTTTTTTTTAAAATATGAAACTCTTTGTTTTCTTACAATTTCCAGATGGACTTTTGTACCTGTTTAGGGACTTGGGAATTAAATTGTCTAGTTGGAGAAAAGAATGCTTCTCATCCTGGAATAAAAAGTTTTAGTGAATGGTGAAATGGGGGGAGCAAGAAGACTTGTGGACTGTTCAAATGAGATGAAGTTTCCAGCTGATATTCAGGCTTCTCAGCCCAGCTCCTCCTGGCTAGGTTTTACTTCCCTCCTCTCTCTGACTCCCCTGCTATGCCCTTGAGCCTCAGTCACATCAGTACTATATTCCCTTGGTGATTATTTTCCCTTCTGTCTTCAGTTAATGTTGCTGCTAATCAATACTGAAAATGGAATTTTATGTTCAGAAATTACTGGACTTCAATGTATGAGTCTGCTTAATTCAATACTTTTCAGGCCGAAGCTACTAGAAAGGTATATGCTACTGGATAGAAGTAAGAAATGAAACCAAATCATTCTAGCATTATTAAATGCCCAAATATATGTTCTTTAGATCATGTTGTTCTTAAGAACATTAGTTTTTATTGTTTTCTAACAGAAGGAAGTCCTAGGTTTCCTTTTTTTTATAGAAGATGAACTGACATTAACTCTGAGGCTCTGCAAGCAGCAGTTAAATTCTGTATTTCTCTAGTCTCATCTTTTTTCAGTCCTAAGACAGGTTCTAGAGTGTGACTCGGATTTAAACATGGGGAGGTTATCATTCATGTACGGCAAGTCTTCTAAGAAAGAAATATTTGCTGGCCTGCTTGAGAATTCTTAAATAAGATAAAGATGGTTCCTACCGCTTGAAAAGGGTACAGTTGTCTGTATTTTTGGATTCCTCAATGTTGAGTGTACCGTACAACTAGATGTTGTTTTATCAAAGTAGAGAATTGGAGCACTGAAGAATGAGGTCCCTGTAAAGGTGGACATTTTCTGTTATTATTGGAATACTTTATAACACATGTCCTTGATCTTGGTCTTCCAGAGCTCTTTAATATCAACTATGTTTATGAGAAATCTGTTCCTCTTCAGTGACTCTTCCAAGTAGTTGAAATCAGTAGGTGATGATGTCATAAACAATTTTTAGTACTAGGAGAGTTGCCTGTTGACATTAACTTCCACAAAGCAAAAAATGGTCAGTTTAAAGAAATGATAGAAGCTTTTAGTTTGGGATGTCTTCCTTCACTGACATTTATGTTGACAAAATGCAGGATGCTACAAATGGAGAAAGAGGGGGGGAAAAATCAGAACTGATGTTAAGTCCACAGGAAGATTGGACCCACTAGTGGCTAAAGCAAACCATTTGGTGATGGGCAGGAAAGGGAGGCTTTTGTACTCGATTTTACTGATTTTTATACCAAGTTTTTCAGACTACTATCCAGAATGTGACCAAACCAATAATTTGATCTATACTATTACCTCAGAGAGCAACAATAGAATGTACAAGCTGAGAATGTTTGAGATGTAGCTGTCTTCAACTCATTGTCCAGCAATCATCTTGCAGTTTAGATGACTTTAAGAAAGAAGCAATGTGGATGAGAATAAATTCACATCCTTCCATAGCTGCTGTCAGACCTCAGATATGAAGAGAGAGTATACCAACAGGGGCTTAAGTTATTACATATCCTTCCAAACATTGCAGTCTGCCTCCCTTTTGTCTTGTTCTGACTATAATGCTAGTGCACCTTCAAGGCTTCTAGATTAAAATAGTGGCTTCTAGCAAACTCTTGAGGTTGTTCAAATTCACGTTGTTTAGATTAGCAATGCAGATCCTTCATCATTGGAACACCTCCTTTCCGTATGAAGGCATTCCTTTGGGAATTATTCCTCCATGACCAAAATCAGATCACTTTTGAGCTGGTTTGGACAGTGGAGAACCATACACGTAACGTGGTTGTCAGTCTTGGAATTTATATTTCTACTGTCGGTACCCAGAGTCTTAACCCTTG